GGTTTTGAACATGTTTTTTATTCCTCTTTCACTAACAAAAGTAGAGGAGTTGCAATCCTTGTTAAAAATTCTGTGCCCTTTAAAGTCATAGAATGTATTAAAGACGCAAATGGGAGGTACGTACTTGTTAGAGCAATGATAAATGGGGAAGAATTTGCCATATTGAATGTTTATTTTCCACCGGGTCATCCTATTAAYTTCTTAACGGAAATAATGGCAAAACTTATGGATCTCTCTCTYGAAAATGTTATCSTAGGAGGTGATTTTAATTGTCTTAAGAATCCACTGATTGATAGGCTTCCCATTAGCCCCCTTTCTATTTCAGGTAAATCAAAACAGATTTTTGATCTTTTTGAGGAGGCGGGGTTTGTGGATGTATGGAGAAAACTCCATCCTGCTGGAAAGGAATACACTTTCTACTCCAACCCCCACAAATGCCACACACGTATTGACTATTTCTTTCTCCCTAAAATTATTTTAGGACAAGTTGCCTCATGCAAAATAGGACACATTGTTATATCTGACCATGCTGCAGTGTATCTWAATTAYACTGTTAAAAWTGCTAGGGTTCAGTCAAATCACTGGAGACTAAATCCTTTAATTTTAAAGGACGGAAAATTTGTGGAGTATTTTCGAACAGAATTCGAACAATTCCTCGCTATCAATTCYCCCTCWGCTAGCAGCCCCTCCTTGCTTTGGGACACAGCTAAAGCATTTAGTAGAGGATTAATATTATCATATACGTGCAGCAAAAAACGAAGAATTGCAGAACAACAAAACATACTGGAAAGAAAGCTTAAACTTGCAGAGGAAGAATATATTAAAAAACCCTCGCAATCCAAGTTGGGAGAGCTCAATGCCATCAGGTGCTCGCTGAACACATTACTGACGCAGAACGCTACAGACAAAGTCAAATTTGCTAAACAAAGATTGTTCGAACATGGGGATAAACCAGGTAGATACCTTTCCTATCTTACAAAAACACGGAAGTCCTCCCAAACAATTGCTTCAATTTCTGATCAGAAGGGTTCGTGTTCTACAAACCCAGAGAAAATAAATGCAGCTTTCTTTGATTTCTACAAAAATCTGTACCAATCTGAACAATGTGATAATTCCCAATCTTCAATGGAAACTTTTTTCTCAAAAATTAAGTTGCCCATGTTACCAGAGGACAAAAAGAAAGATCTAAATGCAGAAATATCAGAGGTAGATGTGGAAAGAGCCATCAGATCTCTCCAGGGAGGGAAAGCACCAGGCCCGGATGGGCTCACTTCAGAATTCTATAAAACATTTATGGATCTGCTATCAAAGCCCTATTTATCCATGCTGAATGATTCATTTGGTACAGGTGTTCTCCCCACTTCCCTTCGAGAAGCAAATATATCCTTAATTCTTAAGAAATCAAAACCTCCAGAAAATTGTGGCACTTACAGACCCATCTCATTACTTAATGTAGATTTAAAAATATTGTCCAAAATTCTAGCAAAACGCTTGGAAAACATTCTACCYCTTGTGATAGGTATGGACCAAACAGGTTTTATCAAGGGGCGTAATTCCTGTAATAACCTCAGACGTCTTTTGAACGTGATTCAGCTGTGTCAGCGGCGCGCGATAGATGGTCTTGTAGTCTCCTTAGATGCAGAGAAGGCGTTCGACCGCGTGGAATGGTCATTTCTTTTTCATACTCTGCATCAATTYGGATTGGGTCCCAACTTTATCAGCTGGATTAAAGTCCTCTATAGTCGTCCTTTGGCTGCGGTTATTACGAATGGGCTTAGGTCTAGTAATTTTGAGGTGGGAAGGGGAAACAGGCAGGGCTGCCCCCTTTCTCCTCTTTTATTCACCCTTGCTATCGAACCGCTGGCCGAAGCAATTCGTAGTGACCCCACTGTAATCGGTATCAATACTGATCGAGGGACCCATAAAATTTCTTTATATGCCGATGATGTTTTGTTGTTTCTCTCCAGACCTGTCACTTCGGTCGAAAGAGTCATCGCAATTATTAATCAGTTTGGCTCATTCTCGGGATACAAAATAAACTTCTCTAAATCCGAGGCCATGCCTTTGGGTAAACAATTTTATATCCCTAGTTCCCCTTTTAAATGGTCCCCTGCAGGATTTAAATATCTCGGTATATTTGTCACACCTGTCTTCGATCAGATGTTCAAAACAAACTTTTTCCCATTATTTGAAAAAATTAAGCTAGACCTTGAACGTTGGAGCGGTCTTCCCATATCTTGGCTGGGCAGAATCTCGCTTCTAAAGATGAACATTCTCCCTCGTTTGTTATACCCAATTAGGATGATTCCTATTTTATTTACTCAAAAGTGGATCCAAAAGCTGAAGAGTTGGTTTGGTTCCTTTATCTGGGCTAAAAGAAGGGCATTCATAAAAATGTCAACACTACAGCTACCAAGAGACATGGGAGGCTTAGATCTCCCAGACCTAAAAAAATATCAAGTGAGTTCTCTTATTTTATATGCCCGAGAGTGGACATCTGGAAATCCATCCACAGTGTGGCTAGATGTAGAAGCCTCGTTATGTGGCTGCCCTCTTAAAAGTTTGCTGTTTCTTAAAAATATGAAAACAATAAATAAATTTTGTAGCAATCCAATCACTGTGAATACAGTCAAGGCCTGGAGGGTGGCTCAACATATCGAGGGAAGAACCGGGAGGACGTCCACGTTTACGCCCTTTTTCCAGAACCCTGACTTTCTTCCGGGTATGTTGGATGCGGGTTTTGGGGAATGGGTGGATAGGGGTATCTCCTCTTTAGGCTGTCTTTTTAAGGAGGGGATCCTCATGTCTTTTAATCAAGTTGTGGAAGTCTTTGGAGTAGGGAAAAATAACCTTTTCCGTTTCTTCCAGCTGAGAGACTTTATTTAAAAAAGAAACAACTCTACTCAGGGACACTGAGGTTTCGGGCATTGAAAAACTGTTTTTCAGAACTCGTGAAGTGTCACTCAGTTTGTGCTACAAAACATTAAAATGTCATAAGCATCACTTACCAACTCGGGCCCAGGCCTGGGGAAGAGAGCTGGGTATYGAGATTACTGATGAAATGTGGAGCAGTATTTGGAACTCTGCCAGAAAAATTACTATTTGTAATCGCTCCTGGGCGCTGCAACTTAAATTACTACATAGAGCTCACCTGGCCCCAAATCGGGTTTCTAAGTTTAAACCAGGGTCCTCTTCCCTGTGCCCTAAATGCAAAATACATGAGGGTAACCTCACACATTGTCTCTGGTCATGCCCTAAAATCCAGTTATATTGGGAATCAATTCTGGCTGAGACTAGGAGAATTATCAAAACTAATATCGATCTTGATCCAGCATCTCTTCTCCTTGGTCTACCAAGTAAACATATTMAAAATCAAAACAAGAGTAAGTTGTATAATGTCCTAATTTTCTGTGCTAGAAAGAATATTTTGTTACAATGGATCTCTAATAAATCTCCTACTATTWTTGGGTGGAAGAAACTKGTTTTGGAATATATCCCTCTCGACTTTCTAACATGCCTAGTCCACTCTAAGACTGACACTTTTGGACGGATATGGAAGCCCTTCTTGGACTATGCTGAAGGACACGTGTCTACCATCCTGTCTCGAGCATTTATAAATGCTTAGATGTGAACTATATAATGACGGAAATATGTGTGCCCCCCCTGTTTTATCTTTTCTTTTTCTGTCTCCTATGGACTGCGCTGCTGAGCTTTTGTTTTGTTCTGTGTTATGTTGTTGTTATTAAACAAAATTAATAAACATATCTATAAAAAAAAAAACCTTTCAGAAGCATTTTGAACCACAGCAGTTTGTTATATTACAGAAATCTGTGGTTATCCATGTGCTACATTACTTTTTAGTCACTTTAGAATTAAACACACTTTAGGCTAATAAATATGGTTTGAATGAAAATGTGGAATTTAGAAAAAAAGAGCAAAAAACAGAATATTAGAAAAAAATAAATCAGATTTTATGAGGCTCTATATGTGGTTGCAACGTGGCAAAATGTGGAAAAGTTCCAAAGGTTACATAAGAATATCAGTACCTGAGAGGTCCAAACCTCCCTGTTCTTTTGACGTTACCAAAACACCTGTTAAATATTTATTTTAATGTAATAATTGTGATGTTTTGAAGTGCGGCTCTGTGTAAGTGTGATTAATAAATAAAGCTGATCAGATGTAAACTCTGGGTCCTTACATGGGCTTGTTTGGAGCGTCAGACGGATCGCTGCAGAATGGCTCCAGCACCGTGTCCTCAGACATCTCCAGGTCCAGCAGAGTGCTGAGGATCTCCTCCCGGCTCGGGGGGGACATGAGGGGCTTGAGAATGTGGGCTCCGCCCCCTCCCGCCCCCCGCTGCAGCTGACTCGCTCTCACCTGCGACACCGAACTGATGGAGTGGGGAGAACTGCTGGGCGTGGTGGACGTGAGCCCATCCATGCTCTCTGGAAGCTCGCTGGTCGGCGAGCACACGTGGTCGACGAAGGAGGTGGAGCTTAAAGGCAGCGGTATGACTGGGTCSAACGCTGATAAGAGAAACTCTTTCCTCTCGCAGTGGAAGTCCTGGAAGGGGCTGAGGATGTGGGACTTGCCGTAAGACATGTCCCACTCGACGCTTGTGGCTTTCSCAGGGTTGGACGCAGACTCCTCAGACCTGTCAAAGAATACAGGGCTGGTGGACCTGGTCTTGCTCRGCTCACAGCCTCTCTGAGAGGACACCTGACGAGCAGTTTGGTTCTGGGAAAGATCCGAGCCCTGTGCTTCCTGACTGACGTCACTGAGGAACTTGAGCGGTAAGCTTTTGTCGGTCAGAACGAACTGAGTGCCACTGTAGGGACTGGAGAAGTGTGAGTGATGGACGGTGTTTATATCGAAGCTGTAGCTGTGAGGGAGCTCTGGGGACAAGCTGTCCTCCATGAAGTTACAGCTGTCTAACCCCGGGTCGGACAGGAAGTGGTGACAGTCATCGGACACGTCCCGCCTCACTGAAACGTCCGGCTGAGAGCTGCTGGGCTTCGTTCTCTTGGTTCGGGGCTTTTTGTCCTCAGCAGCTGCAGACTTCAGGGTCCTGGGTTTGCGAGGGGTGGTGGAGGTGGTTCTTACGGGTTTAGTGTGTTTAGTCGAGGAGCTGAACAGCGCTGCAGCCTGAGCCATGGCAGTGGTATGCCTGTCCGATCCAACCACCTGAACGGGAAGGGCCTGTCCTTGCTGTCTCTTCTGGAGGAGCTGCTTGAGGACAGCCAGGCCAGAGGGCGTCTCAAAGCCTAGCTGTCCGTTCTTAGGACCCGAGCGTGGAGACTCTCCTCCTGGCAGGGGGCGTGGGAAGTCTTTCTGTGAGGACTGATTAGCGGTGCAGTCCTCCTGAGAAAACTCTACCTTCACCCTGGTGGTCTGGCAGCCTTGCTGCTTCGTCTCAGCTGAAAATCTCTGGTTGACGTCCATGATGGAGGTTTCACAGTCCTCCACCTTCAGTTCCATTAACTGAGACCTGCCCTGGCTGCTGCTGCCTGGCTGCTGAGACAGAGGAACGTCTTGAGAGGACGGAGGACACCTGTCCTTACTCAGATCATCACATTTGATGGGTTTCCTCTTCCAGGACCTCCTGGGTTTTGGAGCCATTGAAGGACCTTCAGGTGCACCTTTAGCCTTGTGGCTCTGCCTCACAGTGTTGCCTCTTCTCGACTTCTTGGTTTCTTGTGCTCCTGAAGACGGGGTAGCAGACTTGTTTATTTTTCTTCGTGAATGCGTCGACTTCTTGGGTTTGGCAGTTTGGGCCTTTCTTTGGGCTCTTTTGATCAGAGGCTTGGTGCGGGGCTTGTGCCGAGCAGAACTGAGACAGGGGTCCCTCCGGGGGTTTACCAGCGGCTCAGAGCTGCTGCTGTCCATCAGGGGGTCAGTGGGGGACCAGCAGCGTGGAGGTGTGGACTCTGAGGGACTCGGGGAACAATCAGAGAGATAGCCCAGCTCTACCATGACGTCGGTGTACTGGCTGTCGTGGTCTTCTGCGAGCTCACAGTAGCATGGTCGAGGAGGGGGCAGGGAGGGCAGGACCGGGCCTCTCAGGCAGCCTCGACCCTTCTGGATCCTCTCACCACGTCTAGCACGAGGTCTGGATGAGACGTTGATGGTGGTCTTATTGGTGCTGTTGACCTTTGATTTTCTTTTGGGCTGTTTCTTGGCTTTGGGCTCGTGAATGGGTAACTTGACAGCGGTGGACTCTGGCACTTTGGGCCAAAAGTCCCTCAGAGGGGCTAATTTATCATACTTCTCCAATTTGTTAGGTGTCAACAACACCAGCGGTTCTTCTGCATTGACCTTGGACATCTTCACCAACATGTTCTTCTGTCCTTTGAACCTGTTGATGATGATGTATTTGATGATGACAGGAGGCTCCTTCTTGCGTCTTCTCTGGTGTTTGAAATCCTGCCTCCTGGGAGCAAGGCTGTCCTCGAGTCTTTCTTTGACAGAGGTCAGGTTTTTAGGATGACTGGGTCCTTCTCTCTCATCTCTACTGAACTTCATCCTGCGCTTGGCCCTCAGTGTATACTTGCTCACAGGTAGTGCTGGTGGTTTAGAGCAGGTCCCTTTAGCAGATAAATTAGGTAAAAGGTCTTTGGCTTCTTCAGAAAGAGACTCAAACCTGGAGGCATTGGGGAAGATGAGCTCTGCAGCTGGTTCCTCCTCCTTGATGATTGTTTGAACTTCGTGATTTGGCTCCTCTGTAATGGGCTCTGTCAGTTTTATTGGTTGATCCTTTAAAACAGGATTCTGTGAGTCCACCAGAACAGAAGGAGCTGCAGAGTCCATGTTAGTGTCAGCTGGACCGTCAGAGCTTTGAACTGTCCTTGCCTTGCCCCTTTGTCCTGCCATTCCAAGACGTTTTTTAGGAACTTTAAGCTTTGATTTGCACGATGGAACCAGTTCCAGATCACTGCAGGGCTCACCCAGCTTTTTATTCCCAGTTTTCTTTCTGCTCAGACAGTTGGAGAGAATGACGCTGGGGAAAAACTTGTAGTGTGCCTCCTGCTGAGCCCCGACAGTCCTCTCAGTCTTGTTGTCCTGGTAGTCTTCGTATCTAATTTTGAGTTCTCCAACATCTCCCTCTTCACTTCCCTGGACCGTTTCCTCCCCGCGTGACTCCAGGAAGCTGTCCTCCACCGTGGGAGGCAAGACGGAGGTGATGCTCCTCCTGATGGGGCTCTTCCTGTTCTCCGGGGTCAGGTCCACCTCGGTCTTGGCTGAGCAGTTTCTTCGGTCTGAGTAGCAAAGTGAAAAGGTGCCGTGGTTCTGGAAAAGGGACAGGCAGTTAGTTTCTACATTCTTCATGCTGTCGTACAGCTTCCTGTTCTTGGTGACCTTCCTGGTACCAAAGGGGAAACCCTGGAGCTCGGCCTTATCCAGAGTTAAAGAGGTTTTGTTGTCGTATGTGTACAGGGGTCGTATGTCCTCTTTGTCCATGCAGATGGGGGATGCCTCGGGGTGATTGGCTATTTTGCAAGGAATTGGGTGTTTGACTGGTAAGATGTAAGGCATTTCTTTATTAACCTTAAACCCAGATGAACATTCACTGCTGCTGTCCTGGCTGCCTTTTAGCTGAAAGTGCTTGTCTAGAGGTTCATCTGAGTCCAACATGTGGACTGATCTGTGTTCAGGATGCTTGTACTCTAAAAGGGTCTTGGCAGAAGAAGGTGGCTCCAGGTGGACTCCCTCCCCAGTGAAAGGATTTGTCTTCCCCAGCAGCTGTTCAGTGACTGTGAGTGAGGACTGGGACATGGAGCCGCTGTCAGTCAAAGAGGAATCTATGGATGCAAAAGATAAGGAAGTGACACTTTGTTTAAACTTCACAGCAGCAAATGTATCTGCAGAGCAACATCTAAACTGCACACCTGATGATAAGAACAGTCTAACGAAACACTAAATCATTAAAGACTTCTTGCCCAGTCAGACATTACCAATGTATGGATCAAAATGACGATTATTATAAATCTTGGTTTAATTTTTATTGTATTTACA